TTTTTCTGAAAGAATTATTTTAATTACAAAGTCAATACAAAAATTTTTACTAAAATTTAATTAATAAAAATTTTTGTATTAGCTTTATAATTAGAATATTTCTTTCAAAAAAAATCTAAAAAATTTGAAAAAAATATATATAAACTATAACTTATAAATTTTATTTTAATATAAAAATAAAAATTATTTCTTAATAAAATTATAAAGTTTAATATAGAAAGAAAATTTAAATTTTTACTATATTTTATTTATAATTATAAGAATTATAATATATTAAAATAAAATAAAATAAATATATTTTATAAAATAATTAATAAGAATAAAAATAATATTAAATTCTTGACAAGTAATTAGTAATTAAATAATAAAATTTATAATATTTTATTCTTAATATTAATTTACTATTTTTAATATAAAATTAGTAATAAATATTATAATTTCTAATTAGCTATTATAATTATATAATACTTTATTTAATTAAGTTATATCTTATTATAATTCAAAAATTTATTAGTTATAACTATATGTATGTAAAATTATTTATGATTTTATTAAAAATTTTATTATTATAAAATATTAAATGAGAATTGATTACGATTTTTATTTCTTTAATATAATTTATAACTAAAAATATATTTATATATATCTTTTATTATTTTTGATTACTAGTAATATTTATAAAAATGAAATAATATATACATATTTATATGTTAAATTTTTTATTGTTCACAAGATAATAGCTATTTATTTTTGCTTAGAAATCCTTTGACTTAAATTCAAAAGTTATTTAATAATTTCTACTCACATTTTTTCTCATATCTATGATGATGATGAAACTATAAATATAAAATTATTTATATTAATGTAAAATATTAATCAAGGAAAGATCTATAACAGACGTTATAAATACTATACTCACAAACGTATGTTCATAAACATTTCATTCAAATAAATCAATCTTTGCTAATTGCATTAGAAAATTGAAAATAAATATAAAAAAGAAAATCAATTACTAGTGTTAATTTAAATTTTAATTGAGCAGCTTAGTTTGTTGGAAAGGTTGGTGCTGCGATGTTTGTTGGAAAGATCGGCGCTGTGATGTTTTACTTGGTTATTGGAAGATAGTTTCTTCATGTTTTCGTTTTGCTGTATATGTACCCGGCTTAGCCATTGCTGAGGGATGTGAAGCAAGTTCTGGTGGTACTCTTGAAATTGGACTCTTCAAAATCATTTGTTTCAAGTCGTACCTTGATAAATTAATAATTAATGAGGATATTATAATTTTGAAATAATAAAAAACAATTATAGTTGATATTTACATAACGTCAGCATCTCCAGGTGACAGAAATGTTATAGCGACTCCAGATTGACCAGCTCTTCCGGTACGTCCGATACGATGTGTATAGTCTACAATAAAATTTATTAACAACCTCATTTTTTAAAATAAAATTACTCATGTTGATGACAGTACCTTCAATATTTTTGGCCATATCATAATTTATAACTAAGGATACATTTTTAACATCAATACCGCGCCCAGCAACATCGGTAGCAACTGTATTGAAATAATAAATTAATTATGAAATGTATATAAACGTGTATTGATTTACCTAAAATGAAGCAATAATAATTACCTAAAATATCCATCGTTCCATTTTTTAGATGAGCCAAAGCACTCTCTCTGAAAATAGTAAAACAAGAAATTTTATTCAATAAATAAATTATCAAATATTATCTCAAAATAATGTGAAATTAATGTGAAAATAAATAACCTTTGTTCTTGAGTTTTACCACCATGTAACGTCGTAGCACGATACTAAGAAATAATTTTTAATTTAATAAAAGAAAAATAAATAAACAATATAGTATCCTTAATTTATTACTTACTCCCATTTTATTTAAGGCTCTTGCAAGGACATCGCAACCTTTCTTTTGATTGACAAAAATAATTATTGGCGGATCAAATGAACCTTGCAAAAGTTCCAGTAGTCGACTCCTATTTTAAATCGTTAAATTATTAGTATGTAGAGATTTTAATAATTGATATCGAATGCTTACTTTTTACGGATTTCATCATGTATCATTTCTACTCTTTGTTCAACTGTATCCACTGCTTGACCAGCAGTTCCAATAGTAACAACCGCTGGCCGCCGTAAATATCTTAATATATGATAATTAAGTTTCTTAAGAATATCTGAATGGCTAACAACATATTATATTCAAGCAAACTAACCTTTTTGCTAGCCGTTCTACAGCCGGTGGCATAGTAGCTGAAAACATGACAGTCTGTCTATACCGTTCACGTTGTCCAAGTTTCTTGAGCATTTCAGCCGGATTCTCAGCTTCTTCGGTATCGGGTTTTACATTTGAAACAGGCAACGCATCTAATATAGTGTTGACATCGGTTTCAAAACCCATATCTATCATACGATCAGCCTAATGAGATTTTAATTAAATTCAATTTATTGCAAATTATTATTGAAATGCAAAAAGCCAAATGAATAATACACTTACTTCATCCATAACTACATATGTACATTGATTGAGTACCAATATCCGACGATCGAGACAATCCTTTAAACGACCGGGTGTGGCAATAATTATTTCAGCGCCATTTCGTAAATTGAAAGCTTGCTCTTCTACAGCATGCTAAATAAAAATAAATAAATTAATGAAAAAATGATTTTTTCTTGAAAATAAATGAGAGTTCTATTTACCCCTCCAACAATAGAGACACAATTGAATCCCATAGGTGCCGCAAATTTTAATGTTTCTTGCTCAATTTGCTGTGCCAATTCACGAGTTGGTGCCAATATTAATGCGTAAGGTCCATCCGACATGTTTTCTTCGCATAATCTCGGAAGATCGGAAATGTAAACTAACATAGGGATAACAAACGAGGCGGTCTTACCACTCCCTGAAATAACACAAAGAATTAGTGGCTAATAAATAATTTATTTATGTATAAAAGCTAGAAGTATACCTGTTTCCGCAATTCCAATAATGTCCCTATTTTGTAAACCAATAGGAATGGCTTGCCTTTGAATAGGTGTGGGTTCTTTATATCCAATACTATCAATAAGATTAAGAATACGTTCAGATAAACCGGACTCTTTCCAAGAGCGTATCGGGTTTGGAATGCTACCGCCTGATTTGAAAAAAAGTTAATAAAATTAATCACAGTATAATTTGAAACAAGATTAATAGATACCTTTTGTTGTTATATTGAAGTCTTCTTTGAAAATACGCCAGTCTCTTTCTTTCATTTCGCTTAATGGTTTTTCTGACCAATGCCGGTCATCCCACATGGTTTTCATTTCCTTGCGCCTATCAATTTCCATCCTTTCTCTAAATAGAATAAATAAATTGTATTTAGTCTGTTAGGATAAATAATAAAATAAATTGCATATCAAAAACTTACTCTGCGCGATCTTTTTGATCAACAGTTCTTCGTTCTTCCAAAAGTTGGTTATAAAATTGGGCACGATCACGTTTTTGTTCCTTAATATCAATTCCCGCAAAATGACCTCGTCCAAACATTTGTGCATTATGCCTGCTCGCATATAATGGATTGAAATCTTGTGATGTGTCTTCACCAGCATCCCAATCGAATACAAATTTTTTTTCGTTCATCTTACGAATTTTACGCTTTTTACGTTCTCCACCCATATATCGTTCCTAGAATAAAAATAGCTACGTTAAACAAACAAATAAATAGTGAAACAAAATTAAATAAAAACACACCCTTATTGCTTGTAATTCTTTTTCATCGAGTTTCTCTTCTGGAGGTTCATTAGACTCTGGTTTTTCAGCGGGACGTTTTTCAGAAACATCACGATCCCTTCCTCTTCCCCTTTCACGTTCATAGCGCTCATGTCTTTCTCGTTCATATCTATCATAATGATCACGTCTATCACGTCCATTTCCCCTTCCCCTATCACGATCATAACGATCGTAACGATCTCGATCATATCTACTATCATAATGATCTCTTCTATCACGCCCATATCCTAATTTTTTAAGAAAAGCATTAAAAAGATTTGAAGATCTACGATATCTGTTAAAAGTTTAACATGCCTTGACGACTTTCGTCAATAGAACGTCTCTTCTCCTCCTCTTGTTTTATACGTCCGTCTCCTATCTCTTTTTGCCTTTTTTCTAACTCTTTTTTTTCTTGTTCTTCTTTTTCTTTTCGAAGCTTTTCTCGTTCTTCTTTAGTTAAAAATTTTGGCTGAGGGAAGAAAAATGAACCAATTAGACTGTAAAGTTCATGAGCATAAGCCAACATGCATCTTACATACACGATCATTTTCCTGCTTTTCTGTTTGCCTTTTCTGTAGTAATTCTTCGAGAGAGATTGGAACTTTTCGATTAGCAACACCGTTCATCGTTGATTTTACTTGTAATTTAAAGAAGTTAAAATATGAGCAGTGGCTTGTAGTATCCTGCCATGTACAATGCACGTGATTATAAATCAGTCTAAGATTAGGAGTAAGATAATACATAGTCACGTGATTTACGTCTGAATTATAACTTAATTTAGTATTATAATTTGATTTAATTATGATTTAATTTTAATATTAGTCAAAATAATTTATTATTTTTAAGTTTAGATTATATTATAAATTATATTAGTTAAAGTTATAATTAAATTTTAACTTAATTTTTTAATATTAATTAAAATTATAATTTTTATAATAAAATTTTCAAAAATATTTATAGATTTCTATTTAAAATAATTATAAAAAGTTAGAATTATATACTTAAAGTTTTATAATTTTTAAATCAAGTCTTAAATAATTCTAATTAATTAAAATTTAAATTAATTTATTAATAAAAAAATTTATATTTTTATATTTTTTTATTTTTTTATTATTTAATATTTTAATATTTTATATTTTTTTATTTTTTTATATTTTTCTTTATATTTACTTTTTTTATATTTTTTTATTATTATATATTTTTTATTTTTATATATTTTTATTATTTTATATTTTTTATTATTATATATAGATTGATATAAAAAGATTTATATTTTAGATAAATATTATTAGATTAATATTCAAAATAAAATTTTAATTCTATCTTATTTAATTAAATTATTAGATATTAAGATTTATTTAAATATAAAAATTTTTATT